CAAAAAACAAAAAAAACCTGTCTGCCTGACATGGTTGTTGGGAGGAGTAGCTGAATGGGTTGGAGTCATTTTGTATTCATAGATTGCTGTGATAGGTAAGGTGTCCTGACGATAGAAGCTCTGTTCTTCAGTGTGCTGCATACAGGGATAGGTAAGAGGAAGGGACAGTGTTCTCCAGGGAGTGTGGACTCTTCAAAATAAAGAGACTCAACAGTTAAGTATACCTTTCTCAAAGTAATGAATTATCTTAACCTCCAAAAAATAAGCTAATCCAGTTCTGTTTGTAAAGCCATTCTGGTCTCCGTGGGTACTGGCTTAAGGTTGGCTGTTGCAGGCACATCCTGAACCCCTGAAGGAAGTTTTGGAGCCAGAGCTCTGGTCTTTACAGGGCATTCTGCTCCCTCAGAGGTGCCTCAGCTGCTTTACCCTCTGACCTTCATTTGACTGATGTTTGAGCTTTATATTGTCATCCATTCAATTGGTGGGTGATTGTGTACTCAAACGTGCACATCACCTACCTCAGTAAAATTCAGACTCTGAATCAACATAAGGACAGAAAGTCCCGGGCTGCTCAGCATCCTGACCCAAGTAGCTGGACCCTCTGGTTCCCTTTCTCTCTCAGGTCAGGACCTACCTTCGAAGACACAGAATGTGAAAACTGAGCTATAGCATGGACAGGGCATCTTAATCTGAGATGAGGGACCAGAGGGAAGTGATAGTGAAATACCTGGGGCCTTCAAGATTCTAAATAATTCTGTCTCTGGACTGACAAAATTAAAGGGTTAGGTGGCCTTGTTAATACTATTTTTTGTTCCTCTTAATGATAATAGCACTTTGTAGATTGTGACTTAGGCTTCAAGTGTAACCAAGTGGCCACAAAGATGTTCCTATTGGCTTTTCTGTGGTGATGGTTTGTTCTGCCTCCTGAAAATGGCCCAAATCTCAAGACTCCTTGTGTTATTAGATCAGTTATCATCAAGCGCTTTTCAAATTTTTTATTTCTTACTAATATTATCTACCTGGTTCTTCAGTGCCTTTTCCAAACTGAAGGGTGGAACAGGTTAACCCCACTACCCCGATGCTGTACACATTTTCTCAGGGGAGGCACAGAAATAGAATCGTGTAGACCCACCTTATCAATGAAATAAAGAGGCTTAAGAACAAAATGAACAAAAAAAGCACTACCATTTATGAATCACAGTGGAATCCTAACTTATTCCTAACCAGTAGTCTGAGCTATATCAGAGTCGGGGGTCTCTTAGCAGGAATTATTCAGCTCAAATGTGTTTTAGTGGGAGGTGTGCCGTCATTGGCTTCTGACCGTGGTGGTAGATTGTTTAAAACATGCACGCTCTTTGGAGGCATTCTGAATGAGTTCCTTTGTGACCTTGGAAGCTGAAAGTGGTCCTGTAGGATACATTCTCGATTTTCGGAGTTAGAAATAGCTTCTGCAGTCTTATGCTCTGGACTGTATGCATGATTAGTCTGGATATCATTGCTGATGAACACTGAAATTTACATAGAAGCATCAGATAAATAGCATGTTGGTATCAGTCCCAGAGTTAAAGCTTAGATTGTCAAAAACTGGGTTTCTTTCTTTCTGGTTGTTATTGGTACATTCAGCCATTTGAATCCCATAGTAGCTCTCATGTGGCATTTTTTATTATGCTTGTCTGTTTATTTGTTTTTCCTCCCCCCCCCCCCACTTTTTTTGGGGGGGGATGGGGAACACTTGTCATTTTTCTTCCTAGCAGATTCAAGCCCCAGTAAGACAACAGCCAAAGGTTCAAACAACCCCACCTCCTGCCGTCCAGGGACAGAAACTCGGATCTCTCACTCCTCCATCATCCCCCAAGACCCAGCGTGCTGGGCACAGGCGGATTCTCAGTGACGTAACCCATAGTGCGGTCTTCGGGGTCCCTGCCAGCAAATCAACCCAGCTGCTCCAGGCAGCTGCAGCTGAGGCCAGCCTCAATAAGTCCAAGTATGCGGTGCTTCCTCTTTATCTTTCTTACTGCTGTGGGCCAGGGCTGCTGTGTGCCAGGGCTGTGTAATTCTTGGCATCTGCGTGTCAATGTGTGTAGATGTACATATAATGGTAGGTGTCTGTGTTTGTTAAGAAACTGAATTTGCCTGTAGTACGTAGACCATACTGATCTTAAGGAATAATTTCACATTTGCTTGACTGTTTCTATTCTCTCACCCATTTCATGTTCCACAGAGTATTTTTTAAACTTGTAGTCTGATCAAATCTCCATGCTGAAAATCTCTCATTTGGCTCCCCCTTGCCTGTGGGTTATATCTGAACTCATTGGTTAACAGACCAAAGGCTGTTGTATCACATTGGTGGACTTGTCACTCTCCATCATCGCGAGCACTTTGTTCATCCTGTGCCCTCTCCCCAGACTGCCACTACCCTCCTTGTCCACCTAGGAAATACTTATTTTTTTCGTCAAGATCCATGCAGAGATGACCTTTTCTTTGACCCCTTGGTATCATATATAAGCTTGTCTCAACCTTTTTTGAGCATGCATCACATTGTATCATCATTATTTGTTTGTATATCCAGCTGACCTAGCCTGTAAATTCCTCCAGACAAGGACCATGTCTTAACCTTTGTAAATCCAGTGACTGGCTTTGTGCCTGAAATAAAGTAGATAGCAATGAGTGCTCGCTAGGTAAATGCAATTTCAGACCCTCAGCTTTCTTGGAATCATGCACTCTAATGTTAAAAATCTTTAAGTCATTAATTAAATGCAAAGTCTCAAGAGAGACTTTAGAAGAAAATTAGGTAATGATACCACAAGATAGTGATAACCGTCTTTGTTTCTCTTTAACTGTGATGATGACCACTCACGGTGGCCCTTCATTCTCTGCGGGCTAGATCCTGACAGATGGGAGGCACCTGAAAAGACACCAGTCCTGGCCCCTCTGGGGTCAGTTATTGTGGATGTTACAGTGGGTGCCATAGGAGGCACAAGCCTAAGAACAGGTTGCTTTGGGATTCTGGATTGAAAGGACTTGCAGATGAGACCAAAAATCTAAGCAAGAGATGAAAGAAGTAGCGGGAGATAAATGATCATGAAGGAATGGGAGATATTTATTTCACACAGTGAGAAAAGTATCTGTGGAAAGTGTCCGATTGCTGGAGAAAGCGCTTGCTAATAATGGTTGGACCTAGAAAACAAATTGATCTGAAACAGAGAAAGCAGATTGACCCTTTTTCAACTTTTTCATTTCGTGGGGGTGGGAACCTACCTAGGTCTGCAACCACCACTCCATCAGGCTCTCCTCGGACCTCCCAGCAAAATGTTTATAATGCTTCAGAAGGTTCTACGTGGAATCCCTTCGATGACGACAATTTCTCCAAACTCACCGCTGAAGAACTACTGAACAAGGACTTTGCCAAGCTGGGGGAAGGTGAGCGATTGGTATCTTTCTGTGATTCTTAAAACCCTAGCTCCAGAGGGGCATGCCTGTGAAAATGGAGGGTTGGCGCTTTCTTTCCCTCAAAGGCTTGATTTCGAAGTACGTGTGCAAACTGGTATGTTTACCAGGGCACTGACGTCTTTCCATCCTCAGGAACTCCTGGCCTGTTGCAGGCAGGGGCACGGAGAGCGGGACTCTTTTAGGAAGGATTTGGTAGCAGAGCTCAGGATGGTAGTGTCAAGCACGGTCACTCCTCAGACAAGTGTGATGGGTTTCTCGTCCTACGTGTGTTTATTGTCACAGAAAGTTGTTACTGCTCACCCAGGAGAGTGTGCTGCCCTCACGTGAACATTGAATCTCTCACCGTGATTAGAATTCTGACTGCGAAAAGGCAATCAAATGAATGGAAGGCACCATTTCTACTCTCAAAAACCCACAGTCTGTTTTGGAAGGCAGGACACAGATACACACACAGGCATGCAACATGCACTTTGGGAAAACAACAGCACGTTGGGAAAATCCTTCGAGAAGAGTACCTCAGCATTAGACAAGAGCACAGGGTAAAGGAATAATCAGAACCGAGTGAATGATACGGACTTTGACCAGACATTTTAACTTTAGCTATTATTTTATAGATATCTTTAAAAAATTTGTATTACTTTCTTATCCTTTTATTTATTTATTTTTTTGTAGTTTATTTATTTATTTTTGGGTTGAGAGCACACACACAAATGCATGCACAAGTAGGAGAGGGGCAGAGAGGGGGGATCTGATGTGTGCTCTGAGCTGATAGCAGACGGTCCGATGTGGGGCTCAAACTCATGAACGGTGAGATCATGGCCTGAGCCAAAGTTGGATGCTTACCCAACTGAGCCATCCACGTGCGCCTTCTTATCCTTTTAAGCCAGAGATAGGGTATAGGATTTAACTCTGACAGACAACTAACTCATTGTCAAATTATTTCATTGTTATGTATGCCAGTTATTGTTCTAGAATAACAGAAATACCTTCATGGGCTATTGAAAACTCTAGTATTTTTGCACTTGATTAAAAGACTGCCAAACTTAGGGCTGCCTGGGTGGCCCAGTTGGTTAACCATCCGACCTCGGCTCAGGTGATGATCTCGTGGTTTGTGGGTTCGAGCCCTATGTCAGGCTCTGTGCTGACAGCTCAGAGCCTGGAACCTTCAGATTCTGTGTTTCCCTCTCTCTCTGACCTTCCCCCGCTCATGCTCTCTCTCTTTCTCTCTCTCTCTCTCTCTCTCTCTCTCTCTCTCAAAATAAGTAAACATTAAAAAAAAGAGACTCCTAGGTTTTAAAATTCTTGTGTCTATTTTTAATAATTTCCTGTCTCTCTTCTGTCACATTGAACTGCTACCATTGTTCCTGTCCCTTGTGACGTCTCAGTCCCGCCATTTCCCCCACGCCCCCTTCTCATGTCCACTCCTGAACTGTTTCCACCACAGAAAACAGATTGGCAGACTCATTAGAATTACATAAAAATAAATGGATTTGGAATAAGGACTGGAGGCATCCTGCTCTGAGTAAGGTGCTTGAACCTTCGGGCTTTCGCTCCAGCCATCTCTTTTGTGGCTTTTTACTTATTTATTTGAAAAAATTTTTAGTGATGATAAATATACACAACATAAACATTAGCTTCTTAACCATTGTTAACTGTACAGTTCAGTAGTGTTAGTTACATACTCACTGTCGTGCATCCAATCTCCAGAACTCTTTTTTGCCGTGCAAAACCAATGTGCGATCTTTGATTCTTTTTTTTTAAAGTTTTTTTTTTTTTCAACGTTTATTTATTTTTGGGACAGAGAGAGACAGAGCATGAATGGGAGAGGGTCAGAGAGAGAGGGAGACTCAGAATCGGAAACAGGCTCCAGGCTCTGAGCCATCAGCCCAGAGCCTGACGCGGGGCTCGAACTCACGGACCACGAGATAGTGACCTGGCTGAAGTCGGACGCTTAACCGACTGCGCCACCCAGGCGCCCCGCGATCTTTGATTCTTAAAACTTCCCTCCTTTTCTCACTGTTGTCTCCGTTATTGCAGTGACTAGACAGAGACCTTTGAATAGCTGAGGTGTTGCCATAATGCAGTAAAAAAAAGTCTAGAAGTCACTTCAGAAGGTGCCCTTCATCTCCTGCATGTATGTGCACATCATGGGATTTTGCTGGAATGAACTGAGTGGTATTTTGTCTCTCCAGGCAAACATCCTGAGAAGCTTGGAGGCTCAGCTGAGAGTTTGATCCCAGGCTTTCAACCAACTCAAGGTGATGCCTTTGCCACTCCCTCATTTTCTGCCGGAACAGGTTAGTATAGCAAACGTGTGAAACACAGGCCTTACCGCTGTGAACCTCCACAGATAACCCTGGCACACCAGTGAGCCCCAAATCTTGGTGTCAACTTACGTTTTCTTTTATTCAGAAGATTTCCAATATTAAAGATCGGGGAAAAAAAAAATCTGGAATCACTTGAATTCAAATGACAGGATGATATGTCAGTAATATACAGGATTTGTTCTCTTTGGTTCACATACATACTTTAAGCAAATATTTCTAAATTTAAGAACATCATTCTGTTAATCTCTTTTAGGTTAGTTATTTAGGTTCTGTGGAATTACTTGAAGAATTCTAAGAATTAGATGTTCTATCCTGTATCCAAGACTCTACTGAGCTGTGTTTTTGTGCATGTGTGTGTGTTTATGGGGAGAGGGAGATATCTTTTTTAAAAAATTAGGCCTTTTTTAAATTAAAGAAGCAATAGTAAAAAATTAATTTTCTCCTTTATTAACAGAATTTATACATGGTAAACTATACTTCGATTAACATTTCTTAAAAATTAAAAAAATGATACATATTTATTATATAAAAGTAATATTTATAGAAAAGCATAGGGAATAAAGTTAAAATGCCCATAATCTCACCACTGAGAAACAGCTCAGGGATACCATTTTGGTTCCTGTTAGTGGCATTTGACATTTTTAGGGTCACAGATATCTTGTGAATCTAATGAAAGCTATAGATCTTCTCCTTCATGAAAATACATGACCACAATTTTGTACACAGTTTTTAACCTCAGCTTAAGACTCTAATGTACAGCTTTATAGTCCTATTTTAAAACCAAATTTTCTCACTTACTAAATCTGGCACATTTCCCACATCATTAAAGAAGCTCTTAAATTTTAAAAAGATCTGCATTAAATTGCTTCATATGCATTTGTCCTAATGTATTTAACCAAGTAACCTCTTTTTTAAACATTAATTTGCTTTCAGTGTTTTACTATTATATTTCCCTCAGCGGCAGGTGTGAGGTTTTGAGTGTACGTGTGTGTATATATATGTATATGTATGTATATATATATGTATGTACGTACATATGTATGTATATGTGTATATATATATTCTGTGTACATATGGAATGTGATATACTTCTGAAATTGATCATTTTAGTTGTATGGATTAATTTCTGATTTTAACCTTATATATTCTTTCTTTCTTCCTGCTTTCTTTAGGTGTGCAGTAGTTTTTCTAACTTCATGTATACATTTCTTATTGGAACTTTGGCTGTCATTACATAATATCCTTTACAGTTTCTTTAAGATAACTTGTAGGAGATTATTTATTCAATCAGAAGATATGTGTCTTTTAAGGCTTTGGTACCTGCTTTTAAATTGGCCTCTGGGAACGCTGTACAAATTTTGTTTTGATCAATAGTGAATGAGAGTAATTTTTCTGTCATTTCCTCACCCAGCCCAGTTCAGAGGCTGTACACAGAGGACAGTATTCTTCTGGGATATGTATCGTTCATGTCCTTTGCCTTTTTTTCTCTTCTTTTTTTTTTTTTTTTTTTTTGGTCCTGTGTTCATTTTGTTCTTATTAATTTGTAAGAGCTCTTCGTATGTCCTATATTGTAAACATTTTCCCCAGCCTGTCATTTGTCCTACACAAGTATCCTCTCATCTGACCCTCTCAACAACCCTATTATCTCTTCTGACCCTCAACACCATCTCTACATTAGTCACAGTTGAGGTAACTGAGCAGTCTAGTCTCTTTTCCAGGGTCACAGAGCTAGGACGCGACAGAGCTGGGACACCAACCCTCTGGCTCCAGAAGTTCCTCTCTCAAGTTTCCTGCCACAGAATGAGGCAAATTTACTAATATCTTTTTTAAAAATCATCTGCAGGTTTAAATTTTTTTAAGTAAAATAAGATAGTGCATTTAAACCTTTTATAGTATTTGTATACATCCATTTTAATTGTATGTATTTGTGTTTCTCTTTTTCTTGGTAACTTTAGTAGAGATTTTGCTGTTTTAGTATCTTTTAGAGACAGCTCTTAGATTTATAAAATCTACCGTTTTTCTGTCTTCTAATTCTTTAACTTTTATTTTTTTTGATTACAGATCCCTGTTTTTCTTAGGTTTGCTTTGCCAGTATTAAAAGGAACATCTAGTAAAATTTTTAAAAATATAATAAAAGTGTTTAGAGTTTTTCTCCCACCATAGCAGTGATTTTCAACCAGTGTGAGAGTGGGGAGAGAGACTAATTATAATCTGCAGGAAGACTTCTTCACAGATATTTCAATATCTCTTTTCTCCTCTCTTTAATTGCCTACCCCACCCTGACCTTTGAAGATTAAACTGATTATTGAGAGTGCTTTCTAATAGGTGTGTTTCCCTCGTCGGAAAAAAACTGGAGTTTTAACCGTATCCTGTAAGCCTTCAGATGATATTCTTATGTTATTATTTTGGAATCACATTGGACTTCTTTGGGGGATGTGCTTTTTAAAATTAAATAGTTAAAATTCTTTGTGTTATTTTCCATTTTCAGCTTTGTTCTCTTGCCTGTGTGATTTTTTTTTTTTAATGTTTATTTATTTTTGAGAGAGAGAGACAGAGAGCATGAGAGGGAGAGGGCAGAGAGAAAGGGAGACACAATCTGAAGCAGGCTCCAGGCTCCGAGCTGTCAGCACAGAGCCCGATGTGGGGCTTGAACCCACGGACCATGAGATCATGACCTGAGCTGAAGTCGGACACTTAACTGACTGAGCCACCCAGGCGCCCCTTGCCTGTGTGATTTTTAAATGCACTGATAATTTGATCTGGTTTAAAGTGCTTAAAGTTTGATATGCCACACAGTTGCCTAAATGTACCAAATGTATGAAGCATTGACTGTTGTCCTTGGGATAAAGCATCACAATAATGTCCAGCTATGGTACTGGGTAGAATATAGTTTCCCCAGAAAGGGGGTCATGGAATAAGTAAGCTTTAGGAAAGTCTTCTTTGCTGTTGAATCCTAGCATTTAGTATAGTGTTTGGTTCCGTACAGATTGTTGAATGAATGAAAAGCTACTTTTTGCCAAAGGATAGGAGCTTGGATTTACCACTGTTAATGGCAGAGGCCCCTACACATTTCCCATCTGCTCCCAGTTTCAGTGCCTTTGATTCCTACTTATCACGTTTTGTTGTTTGTTTTGTTGTTCATTTGTATGTATGAACTGGTTTTTTAAATTTTTTTTTTTAATGTTTATTTATTTCTGAGACAGAGCATGAGTGGGGGAGGGGCAGAGAGAGAGGTAGACACAGAATCAGAAGCAGGCTCCAGGCTCTGAGCTGTCAGCACAGAGCCTGACGCGGGGCTCAAACTCACAAACCTCAAGATCTTGGCCTGAGCCGAAGTGGTCGCTCAACCGACTGAGCCACTCAGGTGCCCCTGTATGAACTGTTTTTAAAACAGTTTTTATTTTTGTTGTAGCGTCTTCTTCCCCTTTATGCTTACTTTGTAGTCTATAAATGGCCATATTTTTCTTGAGGGACTTAAACACCTTAAACACATTTGAGTAGAATTATGACAGTAACAGCAGCGAAAATGTACTGAGCACTTGCTACGTGCTAATAAGCCTACTGGTTAAGTGCTTTTTTATGCATTATCTCAGGTGACCCTTAAAACAGCCCATGGGAAATTAAAGTGACCTGCCCAAGGTCACAACTGGAGAATGACAGGATAGAGATCTGAACCCGAACAGCCCAGTCCAGCAGCTGTAGTCATAACCATATCTCAAGAACCTTTGTAAATCAGTGACACTAAGCTTTTTACAAACATTATAAAACATCTTCATATTTTTTTCATCTTATCCAGTCTTTTTAAATGAACATGTGGTATTTTTCCTTCTTTCTTGTCTGTGGTATAAACTTTTTGTGTTTGTGACGCTTTTCATTCTTTACACAAGAAGGAAAATTATAGGGGCTCCTGGGTGGCTCAGTCAGTTAAGCACACAACTTCAACTCAGGTCATGGTCTCATGGTTTGTGAGTTCGAGCCCCGCGTCGGGCTCTGTGCTGACAGCTCAGAGCCTGGAGCCTGCTTCGGATTCTGTGTCTCCCTCTCTCTCTGCCCCTCCCCTGCTCATGCTCTGTCTCTCTCTCAAAAATAAATAAATGTTAAAAGAAAATTTTTAAAGAAGGAAAATTATATCTAAACCCCAGAAATTAATATGTCCTCATTTGTATGAAATATAGGATAGCACCATTTTCTACGAGTTTTCTAACCAAGCTCAGACTGTTCACTGATTTTAAACCATCTGATCAACAAGGAAGGAAATAAACAGGAAATTTCATAAGTCAGGGAGGATGGCAGAAGGGTTATTTTAAACATTTTTTATGGTAAAAGCTGCAAAAATGTTGATGAACTGTGTCCATATGTTGCAACAGACATCTGGAACTTGACATTGTGCCTCTTTATTTAACATATTTTTCTGTTAAGTTATATACATTCGTTAGTGTAATTTTGGAAAAATGACTAAAAGCCCAAAGAAGCAAGATAAAAGAACTCACAATCCCACTCCAAGAGGAGAACATTGCTGACATTTTACAATATTTGTGTCCATAATTTTATTTCTACACATATATACTTTTTTTGAAGATGAATGTATCCAGTTATATAATTTGTTTTTCTTTTAATATATTTCATTTTGTCTCGTTTAAAAAATTTTTTAGAGATTTTAAGAGCAGTGATTTTATCCCTGTCTTCCTCCATCTACCTTTAAAGCAACTTAAAAACCCACTTTAATAACATTCTCAAAATGACAAAATTATAGAGATTGAGAACAGATTAGTGAATCCAAGAGGTAGGGACTGGAATAAGGAGTGTGTGACTATAAAGGAGAACAACAAGGAGGTCCTTTTGTTTGATGGAACAATTCTATATCGTTGTGGTGGTGCCTATGCTAATCTATACATAGAGTCTAATGGCAAAGAACTATACACACCCAGACGAGTGTATGTGAAAACTGAATAAAATTAGTTAACAATATTGTAACAATGTCAGCGATTTTGTCCTACAGTTGTAAAAGATCTCACCATGGAAGGAAACTGGTTGAAGAAGGTTCCCAGGACTCTATGTACAGCAATTTCCTATGATTTCATAATTATTTGAAAATAAAAAGTTTTAAAAAACCCACTCTATAGAGATTTTAATTACTGAGCAAACTGAATATTAAAATGCAGCGTAAAGAATAGTAAAGTAGAAAGCAGCAAACCTGTGTTCTGATTCTGGGTTTGCTGATAGACCTCTGGCTAGTCTTTTAACTTCTGGGCTTCGTTTTCTTTTCTGTAAAGGAAGAAAATTGTGCTAGAAAATCCTAAGATCCCTTTAAGCCCTGATATCCCATACGGTGTATAGATTTCTATAAATCTGTGAGTTTGCCAGATACAGAAAAAATGTCAATAAATGTTAGATGTAGTCCAGAGGTTAGGGCTTGCAACAGGCAGGAAGTCTATTTCTGTTTCTTTCTGTCTTTCTGCCTAGCATGCCTAGACATTTGGTGACACCATGACCTCAAGAGGGTAAAGGGCACGTTGGAAGTATGTGTACATATGTGCTAGATTACAAAACAGGCAGTGGTTGTTTATATGCCAAAATGTGTGATATGGATAATAATCGCTACAGGAATTCTGGAAGAGACCACCATAGGCTTCCACACAAAGAAGAAGTAGAATTTCAGGGGTATGAATATAGTACTAGTTTTATCATTAATTACATCTTTGAGTATGTTGCAAGGACTGGATTATGTATCTCATACATATTTTGCCTTTCCCCTGGATTATATCCGCTCATCCATCTTTCTTCTGCCTCTAAGTTTAGATTTACTCTGCAATTTGAGCTGTTGGGTTAATAGATGCTAAATTCATCTAGATTTACTTGATGTGTTCTGCTTTTCTCTTTTTTTTTTCTCTCCTTGACCCTTTCTTCCCCTCCAACCCACTCCAGCTGAAAAAAGGAAGGGTGGGCAGACTGTGGACTCTAGCCTCCCACTTCTAAGTGTATCTGATCCTTTTATCCCTCTTCAAGTACCTGATGCACCAGGTAGGTAAACAGAGCTGCTCTGAGCCTAAGCAGGTTGATTCTTGTGTTCCAGGGTTTCTTGAGAGTTGTTTAAACACTCCATGAAAAGGATGTGAATTCCAAGGCCTATTAATAGGTTCTATTGTATATTTTTTGGTAATGGGAGGGCCTGTGTATTGGAAAGAACATTAGTCTAATATGATTGTAACATGTCGAGGGGGACCTGTAAGCATGTGATAGAAGGAACAAAATGCCAATGGTGGTTATATGATAATTTCCTGGCTGGTACTGATTTTCCTATAATGGGCTTTTATTTTCTAAATAAAAATACATAATAAAAGTTAAAGGGAATATGAGTCAGGAGACCCAGGTTCCCTTCCTGGCACTTCACCTATCTGAAAACCTTCTGGACTTGACTCTTCATCAGTGAAGTAATTTGGACTGCATGAGTTCGAGTATCGCTTAAGGTCTACCATATCTGATCTTTAAGTGAGCAGTCTAAAAAAGGAAGAAACTGTTAGTGTGTTCTGGTTGAGATAGCTTTTGAAACAATAATTGGGTACTTGCCAATTGGATACTAGCATTTCATGACTGCCAGTGATTTCTCTCCCTACTCTCTTCCCCATCCTTTTAGGGGTGGGGGTGGGGAGCATGATGTGAGACACAGAAGCCACCCTTTCTTTTCTCTACCAGTCTTTTTGAATAGATCCAACTCTTTAGAAGCATCTAGCAGTCATTTTGTTTCTGGTAGTTTTTCTTCTTATTCTTACCTTTGCCTATTCTCTCGGTTTTAAACTAATAGGATCTGCTTGGTTCTTCTTCTCTCCCAGAATGTTAAAGGTACTTGATTGATTCAAGATTGGAAATGATTGTGACGTTTGTGTCATCTATGTACTAAGACAGACTGCAGCAAGGGTACCATGACAGTTTTTATTTCTTTAGGCAATCTGTTGACCCTCCTTAGGGGAGGCAAAAACTTGCCTTGATCAAGTAGTATTGTGTAACTTCATAGCTTGCTGGAGCTGGACGTAGGTCAAAAATACCTAAGGTCGCTGAGAAATGATTCAGTATAGGATAGTTAAAGGAAAGGGAAGAAGGAATCAAGTAGAGGTCCTTTTCTCTGTTGTATCATTCAGGCATGATGGGCAGTACCTAGACAAGCCATTTTCAAGCTAGAAAGGTATGGGCTGTGAACTCAGGCTGGAGCCCACTGGCCTCTTTTTCCTCCCTGTTGTGGCAGTCATGGGATCAGACAAAGAAAAGGGGTTATCGAGGCATTTTCCCTTTTATACCCCTCAGGCTCTTGCCTTGCTCTTTCCCAGATGGCCCGTGGGCTGCAGACGCTGGAAGGGACACCTCTTGGCACAGGCCGGAAGATGAGGGCCCACAGGCAGGTAGCTGTCCCCCACAACTGTCACAGGTGCCCTCTGGATCTGGGTGACGAGCCAGGCACAGACGTAAGGTGGCTCAGGATATCAACTCCCAGTTGTAGAGATGAGTTGTAAAGATAAGCCTGGGAGGCACCATAGGTAGCCGGCCGCCATCCTGCCTTCTACATTGTTATCTTTCCTGTCTCCTGATCCTCCATATTTCTCTTTTTCTGGTAGATTCCTGCTAAAGTGATACTGGTATACACTTTCATACCAATTAAGCCATGACTCCTCTTGGATTTTAATAAGAGATCTATTAATGGAATATTCTAATTGAGAATTACAGGGGTATCTTATTTGTTTTATGATCTGTCAGACCAGACTCATCTGAAAACATAAATTAGATATGTCACTCCTTTGTGCTCCCATGAATTTCCATATCACTGGGAGTAAAATCCAGACTTTTTACCAAGACCTAAAAGGCCCTAACTAATCTTATTAGCTCTCTGGCCACCCCTCTAACCTGAACTCATAATATTCTTTTCTTTAGTCTTTCTTCCAACAGTCTCAGCTTGTTCCCACTTCAGGGCCTTTGCACGTGCTGATACTCTGCCTGGAAAGCTGTTTCTCTATATTTGTTCCTTCTTATCATCTGACATTTGGGTCTCAGCTGAAATGCTATCTTCTCAGGCCTGTCGTGATCCCACAGCACTCTCAGTCACACTTCCTGGCTTTTTTCTTCATAGCATTTGTCATGACATTGTTTTCATTGGTCCATTATCTGTCTTTCCCCACCAGGATGTCAGTGTCCTGAAGGAGCGACCTTGCTGTCTGATCCAGCACTGCTTTGCCAGTGCTAAGAACACTGGCGGGTAGATTGGTACTCTATGAATATTTGCAGATTGGATGAATGAACAAAGTAAAACCTGAGGCTGAAAGGCTTATGGCAGCCCCATTGCTCTCCATTTGTGTCCCCAACTCCCAAACACCAGACTACTGGCTTCATAGTTTTCTACCTGGGCCTCTGCCAACTCCCAGCCAGGCCTCTCACCCACTCTCGGAGGGTGAATAAATGAAGGTACAGCCCACAAACCCTGGAGTGAAAGCAGTAGCTAGGTTTAGAAGATTCTTCACCTCCAGCCCTTTGTCGAGCCCCCCAGAATCTGGGCTGAGCATGGTGTCTTGCAGCTGTGTCTGATTAATGTATGTACTGTAATGTTCTGCCTGTAACACCATTCAATTCTGTAGCCTTTTAATCCAAGGATATCGATAGGATATGGATGGGATTACCCTACCTCCTTCCTTAGCATCTTGAAATGTCTGAGGCGAGGCCTGAGAGTGTAGGGCTCTGGGACCTCAACAAACTGCAAGTTTTTCTCCCCTCTTCCTGCCCCCCTAAAACACCCAGTGTGTCACTACTTCCAGACCACCGTGGGTACCAGTCACACTTTTAGGGCTGTTTGTTTTGCATACATGCTTCCCTCCACACTCTACCTTCCTGATGATAAAAGAGTCATGAAATCTTCGTCTCCTGACCACTCTATGCCTTTTAATGACTTAACATTTTATTTGATGCTTTTAAAATGCCCTCCCATGTAATTTCCTCTGATTCTACAAAGAAGACGGACTGGTAGGTTTGTCAAGTAATAATCTCATGTTCCGGGTGAGAAAGTGAGACACTGGTGCTGTTGGGACTGTGCTGCTGCACACATTCCTTTTAATGGCCCCAGGCCCCAGCCAGTGAAACCTCCCTGTCTGGGGGTCAATAAAGCCTTCGACTGCAAAGCTAAAATTAAGGTTTAGGGAAATACAAAAGTGGGCTTGAACTTTTCAGACCTGGGCTCTACCCACATCATGGCTTGGTGATTTTGATCAAATCACTTAAACTCTGTGTTCTTCTCCTCAAAATTAAAACTATTTTAAAACCTACCTCATGGAGTGGCTTGTGAGGGCCAGGTGGAAGCATGTATTTGGAATTGCTCTGTAAACTTTAAATTAGTATAAAGATAGGAAATGTTGTAGACTTTGGTTCTGAGCCCTTATTCCCCATGGGGCAGTCCTAGTTATGAAAAGTCTTAGACAATAATGTTTTTCTCTTACAGAAATTAAACTTGCTTTATAACCTTTGACCTTTGCACAACTGAGAGCCATTGAAATAGACTTCCTTGATACAATGATTATTAAACTGTGGGTAAAGGGGCATTGGGTAATTGGATTTGTTTGGGTTTTATTTTTTTTAGGACCATTTCTATTTTCCAAAGCATCATAAAACACATTTTCTTAGAAAATCTGGCATTAAAAAAAATCACAGCCATGAGCATTTGTGTGCTCACAGAGCTGCCAAATGAAACCTAGCTCTGGTGAGTCTCAAAGTATTTCATTGATGCTCATATGCTGTGTGTTTATTTTTCCTTCTCTTTGTGTTAGATAAGCTATAGGTGGTACCAAATTTAAAATACAGTAGAAGAGAATGGGGAATTTTCTCTGAAAATTGGCTGAAGGATTTAATCTTTTGTTTTTTTAAACTGGTAAAATACACATAACACAAAATTTACCATTTTAAAGTGGACAGTTCAGTGGCATGTAGTCTCCACATTGTTTTGCAACCATCATCATCCATCCACGGAACTGTTTTAATCTCACAAAACTGAAACTCTCCACCTGTAACTCTCCTTCCTCCCTCCCTGCAGCCCCTGGCAACCACATTCTGCTTTCTTCCTCTCTGAATTTGACTACTCTAGATACCTCATATAGGTAGAATCATACAGTATTTGTCTTTTTGTGACTGGCTTATTTCACTTAACATAATGTCCTCAAGGTTCATCCATGTTGAAGAATATGTCAGAATTTCCTTCCTTTTGAAGGCTGAATAACATTCCATTGTATATGTGTACCACATTCTGTTTATCCATTCCTCTTTTGTTGGCCACTTGGGTTGCTTCCACAGCCACTTGGGTTGCTTCTCTTGGGTTATTGTGAAAATGCTCCCATGAGCATGGGTATGCAAATGTCTCTTCAAGACCCGAGATTCTTTTGGGTATATATCTGGATATGGAATTGCCAGGTCCTATGGTAATTCTAGTTTTTACTCTTTGAGGAACCACCATATTCTTTTCCATAGCGACTACATCTTTTTACATCCCTACGGGCAGAGCACTAGAGTTTGAGGAAAAGATTTTCATAGCAGCTCCTTAATGCTGACTTCTCAACATCAGTGTTCCACAAGACTCAGCAAGCAGGCATTGGTTGCCTCATAAGTGCCACTTCCTAGAATCAACAGCTTTTTAAAAATGTACCTCCTGGGGGCGCCTGGGTGGCGCAGTCGGTTAAGCGTCCGACTTCAGCCAGGTCACGATCTCGCGGTCCGTGAGTTCGAGCCCCGCGCCAGGCTCTGGGCTGATGGCTCAGAGCCTGGAGCCTGTTTCCGATTCTGTGTCTCCCTCTCTCTCTGCCCCTCCCCCGTTCATGCTCTGTCTCTCTCTGTTCCAAAAATAAAATAAACATTCAAAAAAAAAAGAAAATTTAAAAAAAAATGTACCTCCTGGTTTATGGTAGTTCATCATCTCTCAAAAAGTCCACAGGAGAAGCTGTGTTTTCTTAGTGGTTTGTTGTGAACATAAACATTCTCTCAGAGCTATCTTCCTGGCATAT